TTATCCTGTCGTGCCCGCAGATTTTCGGACTTCAGTAGAGACTCAGTATCGTATAGTATCTCGGATTTCATCTTTCGATGGAAGAGAGCAGTCATTTTCGATCTTCCCTGATCTTCGAACTCTATTTCCAGATCATCTACTGGAGCGGGCCTTTTCAGGAGCTCTTCGAAACATTTTCCAGGCGATTTCTTCCCTGGTTAAGGATGTGAGTTTCTGAGATCCCAAGGAGGTTGATCGAAGTTGTATTGCTCAGCTATACGGATGACGTCGGACAGATTATCGTCTTCGATTGCCGTTCGCACATTCCAGCAGGCGATAAGGATCTTTTCCTCGCTGATGTTGATCGCTTAGAGGTCAGACTTCTTGGTGTTATACTTTCCGATCTCTGATCTTATTTTACTCATCGCAGTGGCGTCGCGCAACCAAGTCAAGTACTAGAGCGAAATAGTCACCCGACCCCTCGCGCCGATCTGCCGCCGAGCACTCACGGTTGTGCAGTCGACGCAGGGTTCGTATCCTTTGTGCGGTTGAGAATTGAACAAGCCTTATCAATTCATGACCCAAAAACTACTTAACCAGCAGCATGGACAAAACGCACCCCTTCGGCTCCAGACGCCACAATATTTGCGGACTTAGCAACCAACTGAAGAAACCAACCTGGACCATCCTGAGGATTACTCTTGAGAGATGAGCCTAAACGTCTGTACTAGTCAAACACGTGATTGACTAACTTGTTTGTTTGCTTCGTGTAAAAATAAAACGTTTTTATGCATTCTTCGGTTTTCATCATGAACACAAACACATGAACAAATCATTCGAACTTCGGACAAATATAGTTATTGGTCTAATATCATTTACTTTTTATTTAATTGCAGCTTTAATTTCAGTTCTAGGAGTTGGTAGTGGTGTCGTTATTCAACCTTGAGAAGAGTTTTCCTATTTCCATGATTGTGGCTATATCTGTCAATGCTAGGATAACCAGTGGACTAAAAGTGTAGCTGAGTTGGTACTTTCCAATGTGACAATGTTTTCGCAGAGTACATTTTCACACGGTTCATTCAGAGCGACATTCATCCATGGCATATGTGTATTATTATGTACATTTTGTAATGTATTTATTATGTAAGTATCACGCGCAGTTCATACGCCTCTGCATGTCAAGTGGCGAAGACTCCTCCTAGATCAGAATTCACGACGTATTGTCTTCCCCTGACGCCACGGAGAGGAAGTTTAAGCAGGTTTCATAAATTTGAGCATATACAGTGCCAGACATGTATTTCGTTTCATTCTGTCCGTTAGACCCTTAGACCCATCTCGCACTCATCAGAAATTGGTACCCCGTATATGCTACCGCATGGACATCACAAGCTCTTCGTACTTCTGAGTATTTCAAATAACAAAAAGCTCATCTAATGCAAGATTTTTAGGCAACTGCAAGCAAGATGGCAATGTACTATGCCGTAAAATCTGGACTTGCAGACGTCATTCGTTATTTGTGTTTATATGGATAATATATATCTATGTATCATTTTCACACCGTGTCGTTTCCTAGATTCCTGTTGTGCATCTCAGCGGCAATATACCGGAAATACTGCGTCGAAGTGTCAGATACTTCCAGCAGATTATCGAATCTTCTCAGGCTGTCTTGAACCGTGTAGATCCAATTCTGCGAAAAGTATGTTATGCATTCTTACTAAAACTCGTATTATGCAATTCATCATCATCACCTTCCATCGCCGCTTTTCCTTTCGGGTCGCGGAGGCAAACACGTCAGACAGAGCATTCAACGTTCTCGATTCTGTGCCAGAGTCTGGGCTTCGGCAAAAGACAAATGCAGTCTGGAACAGACTCCTTCCATATGTTTGCACCTCGTTAATCTTGGCTGCCCTTCCCGATCCTGTGCCAGAGTCTGAGCTTCGGAAAAAGACAAATGCAGTCTGGAACAGACTCCTTCCATATGTTTGCACCAGGTTAATCTTGGCCGTCCCCTGGCCTTTTGCCGGTCGGATTTGCAAGGAACAGTTGCTTAGCCTTCCTTTCTGGAGGCATTCGCAACACATACCCAAGCTATCGCAGCTGTGACTTCTCAATCTGGAGAAGCAAAGGCTGTAATCCAAGGCTCTTCCCGGTGTCACTATTCCGGACCATGTCGAGACGCGTAAGGCCAACGAT